ATTTGGGCTAGCTTATAACTGAATGTAGGGGTCTCAAAGTGATGATTGTTGCCATGGAGAGATGTGGGAATCCACCGTCACTTTGGTTGATGTTTTAATGATGATAGCCTTTGCTTCCTAAGTGTATGCCTAGTTAGTTTTCCACATTCAGTAAGGTGTTCCTGTAATGCTCAGACTCTTCTTTTCGATCGGCATATCCGTGTCGACACGACATAGGTACAGGTATGAAATATGGGTGGACACGGCCAGGGCGAAACTTGTTGGAGCTTGGATGCTGCCATTGTTGCAGAGTGCAGACATCCGCAAAGCTTTAAGAGAATAGGGAGGAAGGAAAGAATTTGTTGGACTTGGAACTTTTTTTAAAAAATAAAATAAAAATTGGACCTTTAGTTTTCGCTTTTTTTTTTTAAAAAAAAATAACATTATCTACTAGACCACTGCAGCTTTATTTCCATCGAGAGCAAATTATACAAACCTCCCATGAGGTTTATTATTTCTTAAATATGTTTTTTGGTTATTTTGATCTAAATAAAACAATTTTAGTTATATAAAAAAAAAATACCGTGGTAAATATTGCTACAAACTTTTTAAAAAATTTTAAATTTGATTTTTTTTTTTTTTGGCCAAAATGATTAATAGATAATTATAAAATCAATAAAAGCCCCTGTTTGAGCCACATTAAAATTAACATTTTCATTATTCTACTCATTTTCAAGCACACATTCTTCAATAATATAATATTGTCATCATATCAATAATTTTTCTTTCTTTTTCAACTACACATTCTTCATCAATCTATTATTCCAAAATATATTCTTTCAAATTAATGTGGCTCAAACACACCCTAAATAAATGTTTTAGAACAATTTAATATCATTGTCTAGAATTTTTATTTTTTCAAACTCATGACATTTATTGAAATTTTGAAAATTAAACTAATAATATCATGACAATAAAAATGCATAAATGTTGGCATCAAAAGTTTATAGCCTAGATTTTTTTCTAGTTCATTTTTGTATTGAATATTTTTGATCAATTTTAGTTTCTTCATTTTTCAAAATATTTATAAAAAGATCTAAAAGAAAAAAGGTTTTTTTAATAAATTCTAAAATAATTTATTTTTGTTCTAAATTAAAAAAAAAAAAAACAAATAAGATAACAACTTGAAGTTAATTTTTAAATGTGAATTTTTGGGAGAAAAAATAAATGAAGTTTCAAAGACGTGCCCACATATCCATGTCCTAAATTTCGACTTTTTTTTTGCCATGTCTCCATATCCTACATTTTAGAAAATAAAAAATTTGACACTTATATACGTACCCGATACCCATGCCCGAGTCCGAGCATCATAGGGGTGTTCTTTAATTTAACCTTTTTTTTTCTTTTGTTTTTCTTTTTTCAATAGAGAGCCCAGAAAAATATATGGCATACATGAAAGATAGAAGCATAATAGTTTACCCTTGGAGCTAAAACTAAAATTTCACCACAGGAGCAAGGCTAGTTAAGACATGTTCTTTAAAACTTTACCAAGATATTGAAGATCGTAGCTAGCTATTGGATTTGGATCTCTACTCTGATCATTTGAACAAATCATTCACAACTATTCTTCACGAGTATTCTCATTGAACTGATGACACCATAACGATATCATACTTAAATAGAATGACTTGTGAATAAATCTGAAAATAACTATTGGAATTCCTTTTGACTTTTTTGTACGATGCTTTATTCACTCAGTTGGCTGACTTATGTCATTATCTCGTGCATGTCATATAATGCTTGCTCAATGGTTTGTTCATTGTTTGAGTTTAATTTGTCTTGGTAATTGGAGTTCTGAAATGTCGTGTATTGATCTTTGTCTACCTATTTGTCTTTGAAGTTCAACTGAAGGAGGATGTTTTCTTATGTGTCCTGGCAATTAGAGGTCTGAAGAAGTCATGTATATTATCTTTCTCTACCTTATTTCATTTGAAGATCAACTGAAGGATTGGAATGTTTTCTTATGTGCAGTAAGCATGATGAGCATTAAGGATTGGGTTTTATCTCAATTAGTATCCACGTCACTATCTTCATCAAGACCACTGTCAGCATCAGACAGCTTTTTGTACGAGGAACCACACAATGTAGAGTTTGACAACCAAGGTATCACCTTTTCCTGTCATTTTATTTTTATGGGTGTGGTGAGTGTGAAAATGGGAACCCAGTGTTTATGAATTTTTTTACATGCTCTCTTGCCCCTTTTTTTGCTGTCATTGTTTGATTTGCTTAAAAGAGTGATTATAGTGGAAGTGTAAAATACTAAAATTTATAGGACCAGGTTAATATATAAAGATTTCCTTTTGTACTAGATTTTTGCGTCCTTTTGGTCATAGATGAGGTTGTATAACTAGAATGGGGTTCATCGTCGGAAGCAGCAAGCAATTTGCTGTTACTTTGGAGTTATTCCACCACTACTCGTTTCCTTGTGAGCTTTGAGTACCCCAAAACTTTCTTGTATTGTTTACTCTTTTGAGAACTATAACAAGTTCATCTTTCTTAAGAGTTATTTTTTGTAACATCTAAATAAAACTTTCAGTGATTTAAAATCGATACGTCAACACCTGGGCATTTCCCTTGTTTATTATATATAAAGTGGATAAGGCACGCCCTGTGATTAGCACACTAGCAATAAAATAAAACTATCGAACACTACTTACCTATTTAATATTTGCAGGCCAAACCACCAAAGCACATACAGCTGCCATGTCCTTTCAGTTCTGGGAAAACCGTGCGACTAAGACCAAAAGTATGCACACACTTTATTCAAAAATAAGTCTTTATATAAAATCAGTCATATAAATTTCACACTTCCTCTAAAATCTCTCTTCGAGATTAAACAATGACAGCAAACGTGTAAATAAAGTTAATCCAATGGCCAACAGGGACAATTATCCCTGATTTGGTACTATAATTTATTTAAGATTTGATATTGATGATCATTGATCAATTCTATGGGTCTAAGGACTGTCTTGTGTGCGCTTGTGTTTGTGTTTGTGTTTTTGTGCGTGGTGCATCCAATGCACTCTGAAGAGGGGAGAGGAGTTTGACAAAAGGTTGTCAACTGACACGAACCGTGTGTACTACTTGAAATGATAGTTCTCACCTTAGTTTTTTATGTTAAGAAAAAAACAAATTAGTTTCCATCTTATTGTCATCAGCCGAAATAGATCACCGATCTGTTTTGGTTTAACTGTATATGTACCCTTATGTATTTTTTCTCCAATAAATGAATGACTTTTTACCTGTCAGATTGTATGATCTTTTACTTGAGCTCTTTCCTACGGTGAAGGGCCGATGCTTGGCTTACAATTGGTTTTCTGCAAGTCTGCTGATGAGTTTGCTAAAAATATAATTGAAATTTCTATTGATTCTTAGATCAATGACTGTTAATCAAAACTGAAACTGTTACCTACTTTTTATTTTACACATCAGGTTTGGGTCGCATTACCACCAACTTGACTGCTGCGCCAGATTCTGGCGAGACGTCTTGCTCATCCAATGATAATCGGACAAATCAGAGTTTCTCGTCTCACCGCGTGGAAAATCCTTCTGTGTCTGATAGTAGCATTGAGAAGAAATTGGATCCTATGGCGAAGGTTGAAGGTCTACAAATTAATTTTTTGCGTCTTCTTCAACGCCTTGGCTTGTCTCAAGATAATCTTATGGTGGCAAAGGTTTTATATCGGATTCACCTGGCTACTTTGGTACGAGCAGGGGAATCAGATTTGAAAAGAACTAATCTCAGAATTGATAGAGCTCGAGCAACGGCTGCAGAACAAGAAGCAGCTGGTCTACCTGAACTGGACTTTGCGCTTAGAATACTTGTTTTGGGTAAAACTGGTGTTGGCAAGAGTTCAACAATAAATTCCATATTTGGTAATACAAAGGTAACAACTGATGCGTTTCATCCTTCTACTGATCAAGTTCAAGAGGTTGTGGGAAGTGTGAACGGTCTTAAAATATCTTTTATTGATACTCCTGGCCTGTTACCTTCCTCAACAAAGAACGCCAGGAGAAACAAGAAAATCTTGAGCTCTGTGAAGCGATTTGTTAAAAAATCACGTCCGGATGTAATCCTGTATTTTGAGCGCCTTGACATGATCAATCCGGGTTATTGTGATTTCCCATTGTTGAAGCTCATAACTGACCTCCTTGGCCCTGAACTCTGGTTCAACACAATCCTTGTCATGACTCATTCTTCTGCTGCACTTCCTGAAGATCCAGATGGTTATCCTGTAAGCTATAATTCTTATGTCACTTACTGCACTGATCTGATGCGACACTACATTCACCAGGCAATATTGGATTCGAAGCTTGAAAACCCTGTAGTTTTGGTGGAGAATGATCTCCACTGTAAGGCAGATAGCTGGGGGAGAAAGATTCTTCCAAATGGCCAGTTATGGATGTCCCAGTTCTTGTTAATATGCATATGCACCAAAATTCTTGGTGATGTCAATACTCTTTTGGGATTTGAAGACAGTGTACAATTGGGGCCTTTAAGTAATACCCGATTGCCTTCTATACCTCATCTTCTCTCATCTTTTCTTAAACATCGTATTCAATTGAACCCAAATGCAGCAAACGACAAAATTGATGAACTTCCTCTTACATACAAGGATGAAGAAGATGAATATGATCAATTGCCTCCTATTCGAATTCTGACTAGAGCTCAGTTCGAGAAATTGACCAAGTCGCAAAAGAAAGCTTATCTTGATGAGCTGGATTACAGGGAGACCCTTTATTTAAAGAAACAGCTGAAACAAGAATTTCTTCAAAAAAAGGAAAACAAAGAAAATGTTGGTGTGGCCTCTGATGACAGTAGTGATAACCAGGAGCAGTCTCCAACAGCAGTTCAGTTACCAGACATGGCTGTCCCTCCAAGATTCGACTCAGAATGTCCGGTCCATAGATTCCGCTGCCTCGTTGCAGGTTAGTCTCCAACAGCAGTTCTGTTACCAGACATGGCTGTCCCTCCAAGTTTCGACTCAGATTGTCCGGTGCATAGATTCCGCTGCCTCGTTACAGGTGATCAGTGGCTTGCAAGGCCGGTTCTTGATCCCCATGGATGGGATCATGATGTGGGATTTGATGGTATCAACCTCGAGACTGCTGCTAAAATAAAGGAAAATGTTGTTGCTTGTGTTACAGGACAAATGAGCAAGGACAAGCAAGATTTCAGTATTCAGTCAGAATCAACTGCAGCTTTTATTGATCCTAGAGGCTCCATTTACAGTGTGGGTCTTGATGTTCAATCTGCTGGGAAAGAATTGGTCTGCACAATTCGCAGCAACACAAAACTGAAAAACTTGAAGAACAATGTTACTGAATGTGGTGTTTCAGTGACATCTTTTGCAGATAAATATTATTTTGGTACTAAAATCGAGGACAGCTTCTCAATAGGGAGGCGACTGGTATTTGCAATAGATGCTGGACGGATGGGAGGAAATGGACAAGTGGCTTATGGTGGAAGTGTCAAAACTACTTTAAGAGGGAAAGACTACCCTGTGAGAAACGAGGAGGTCAGTCTCTCAATGACATTCCACTCATTTAACAAAGAGACAGTTTTGGGTGGCAATTTACAGTCTCACTTCAGATTGAGCCGATGTACAACAATGTCACTGGATGCCAATTTGAATAGCCGAAAAATGGGCCAGGTTTCTATAAAGGTCAATAGCTCTGAGCACGTGCAAATAGGTTTGGTTGCAGTTGTCTCCATTTTGAGAGCCCTTTTGCGGAAAAAGCCTGTTGATGATCTTCAAAGTAGAAAAGCTCTTGAAAGATGAATTTTTTTTCCCCATTTCATTTCACCGTGTTTACTTTTCAAAATTGGAGAAATTGTGGGGCCTTGAAATCTGCACTTGAAACCGGAATACAAATTTACACTGCAACGTGAGGAAGATTATCCATGAAGCAGATAGTGAAAGATTTCATGAATGCCATTCAGGACTCAACACTGCAGAATAGGAGGTAACTCTTTCTTGTCAATTCTTGATTTGGTAACTTTGTATGCTAGACAATGATCATATAGTACATTTTCTTGTTGGCTTTTAATGGCCAAAGAGATTTGTATTAGGTGTTCTGAAGTGACAAAAATGTGAGGCCATAGAAAGTACTCCTGTTATTTTTGTTTTCTCGAGGATTAAATTGGAAAAGATTAGAAAGTTTACTTTTAATAAAAGAAAATGTTTTGGCGTTTGATGTTCTTGGATTGAATGATGTTCGTAATATATTTTTTACGGATGCCATTTTCCTTCGAAAATTTCTGTATTCGTCTTCACGAGGAGGTAATAGACGAAACTGGGCAACCCGGGTTGCCCCTGGTTGGTCCACTAAAACCCTCCCGGTAACTTCATTAATTTAAGAAACAGTTGTATGAAATGAATAACTGAAAAAATACTATGAAGGATATGGATAATTGTATAGGATTTCATCTAAAATATGAGGTATTCTTTGATTCAATCATTGTATTATTGCAGGAGAGAATACAGGTTCATAAATAATGAGAAATTCTATATAAATTTTAAACTTCTATTTCGATGTTTATATTTGATTCTGAAGAAAATGATCAATAAACGATTTTATCATAGTTACTTGACTTATAAGTTAAATTCAATTTTAATAAGTTGAGGTTGAATTTCCAACGTAGTGAGTGTTTGGATAAATTAATAGTTATTAAAATTATAATGTGATTGAAATGAGCAGTGGATAAGTGGGTGGTAGTTGTCGATCTTACGAAATGTGTGTTTAAAATTAAAGTTTTAATTTTGAAAAATAAATTATAAATTACTTTTGGATTTCTCAAACATATGCTTAAAATAGTGTTCATTTGTTAGGTATAGAAGTTTTGCAAATACGATAAAGCCATTTGTGAGGGAAGCTAAATTTATTTGTTTTTCCTTGCCAAAAAGTATAGTTAAAAATTATATAGCAATTTAGTAAATTAATGTTTTGAGAGAGAGAGAGAGAGAGAGAGAGAGGTGACCTTTTGATCCAAACGATTTCAGTAGTTCTTCAATTGTCACTTATCTTATGCCATGTTTGATTGCCTATGTTACATTTGAGGAAAACGAATTTCACTTTGACCGTTTGATTGTAACGTAGAAATGGAAACCGAATTCCAAGGTGAAACCACTTTAAGCTACATTTTATTTGTTTTCATGGAAAATGAATTTCTATGGGGTTGTTGGATTTTTATTTTTCAACAAATATGGAATTGAAATTTCTTTCCACATTTGCCTATCAACGGACCCTTAGAGTTCACTTTTAATTCTGAGGGAGAGAGCCAAACAATTTCAGTAGTTCTTCAAGTGTCACTGATCTTAGAGTTCAACTTTTAATTCTCGAATAATCAGTAATTGTATTAATAATAATAATACAAAATGATATCCTTCTACTCAATATCCAATTTAATAATTTGATACCTACACAATTACTTTTGTTATCAAACGCTAAAATAATGATTTTGAAATATACAACAATTTTAAAACATAACTTTACCAAATGGGCAGAATAACTTATGTTTACCAAGCGCTAAAATATGATTTTGCTACATAAAACAATTTTGAAACAAAAATTTACCAAATACTTAATTGATTCTTCAGCAACCTATTCTTTTTTAGTTTTTATAGCACAACAAAATTTGATTATCTTAAAGTACAATAATATCAAACTAAGTTTACGGTTAAATGTTAGATGAGTTCATACATTTATATTCATTTGAGCTCTATGAAAATTGCTTAATCGAATTAAAAAATAATTGGATCGTATTAAAAAATGAAATATAGTTCTAATTTAATGCTTATTTGAGAGATTTTTTCAAGTGAAAAATAAATTTTATAAGAGAATATGTATGTAGTTAAAAAAAATAAAATAAAACTGATCACATAAAATGGGCGATTGATAATAAATTTAAAAAGAAAATATCATTTTCAAAAAAAAAAAAAAAAAAAAAAAAAAAAAAAAAAAAAAAAAAAATAAAAAATATAAAAAAAAAAAAAAAAAAAAATTATAAAAATTAAAAAAATTTTTTAAAAAAAAAAAAAAAAAGAGAACTCATCCTATCAACATCTCTCTCATAAGAGTACTCCAACGCAAACTGTGAAATGCTTTAAAAATTGTCATGTAAGTAAAATGTAAGGTATCATAAAAATACCTCTAATGCACTACGTCAATATAATGTGGCAGTAAAAAAAAATATATCGTAAAACTTTCAATTTACATGAAATTGATATTAGTGAGTAGGCACTCAAGTTTAAATTTGATTTCCAGTATATTCTATACATTGCTATCATTTATTTTTCTAAAGAAAAGTAACAAAATCATATTTAAATCTGCATATGAAATATAAATTTTAGTATCACTATCAATATATACATATGCATATATATATATTTTTATGTCACATCCCCTTGATGGAGTCGCCCATCAATTTGTATTGGAAGTGATTTAAATGCTTCAAATGTGCTTATATGGCGCAATACTTTAAGTTAGGGG